ACGCACGCACACACACACACACACAGATGTTTAAGAGTCAACAGGCAACACAACAAACACACACACACAATTCAACATCCTCACACACAAAAAAAAATCAGCGTGTGCACCTGTTTCTCAAAAACTTTCATGACTGGGCTTCTGTACCACAATTTCTGATTCGTAAATGACACATTTTCTGCACATTTGACGTCTCACATCATCTCTTTCAACAATCTGTAATGACATAATGACATTTAATGTTTCAGGATTATAAGTTAAATCAGTTATTATTCCACTAAGGAGAGCCAAATCCCTGTGCACAGGTAGCAGTTTATACAAAAACAGCACAGACTGAGCAGTTTAGGGAAAAAGTTCGGAGAAATTCTGCTTGAAAATTTTCCTTTATTATGCATTGTTGTCGTTCTGGTTGCCTAAAGCAGCATTTCCACTTCCCCCCACAGCCTGCCGCTTCACAATTTGCTTTGAGTAAACATCAAATGCTCTTTGAAAAGCATGAAAAGATGAACTGGCTGACAGAGTAACAGAGGAACTGAAGATACACACGAGTCTACTGTCACCTAGTGCCTGAAAACAAACACTTCACCTCTTGCTGGACTTCGTGGCAGCTGCAGCTCGAGGTGTCGGGATTACCAACGGAGACTCTACCAGCATTGAAAAGGACGACACACAAAGACTGCAGCTAAGCACACAATATAGACAACAGTTTCGTTAATGTGTTTTCCACACAGTTTAAGGGATGTCAGCCTCATTTATGCTTCACAGCTTCATCTGACAAAGTCACTCTGAGCAGGTACCACTGAAAGCACAGCAGTAATAAGTAGGTCAAACAGTTCCATCATCTAGAGTTTAAAAATAAACCTATGGATGAAGTGCAGCTCTTCTGTTCTTTAATCTACCTGACTTCAGTTAATCACACGGCTCTACAGTTCACTACTTGCCTTCAGGAACATCCCAGCGTGAACCTGTCACACTACAAAGCCAATTTGAAAACAGATGCACGGTGCTTCCATCTAAAATCACCTGAAAATAAGTGGAAAAAAACAAGTGTCCCTATATGATTACTGAGCGTCGATGCTAAATAGCAGCTCTGGAAACGTCATAAAACTGCTGCTTAAGGTGTCTTCATGTCACATCGTGTCCTCGTTACATCTCGCCAGCAGGAAACTGAATAAAAGCATAAACAAAAGTAAAAGTTGGGGTTAAACACTGGGACTTTCTATTGAGAGTTAAGAGTGAAAAAGCTTTTTTCACAGCAGACATTGTTCCCTGCTACAGTAGGAGAAGCAAGGTGGGATTGAAGCTTGCTCAATAAGCTATTCCAGTCGACAGAAATACAGAACAAGCACGCACAGAAACAGGAAACCTCCCTCAGCGAAATGCAGCCATTAACACACCTGTACTTTCCCTACCGCGACGAGTCAAGGAGTGTTTTTCCATTACATCAAATTACGCTTTCTCACATCCTCTTGACCTGGGAATCTTTGCCATCATGGAGGATCTTCCAGACACTTAAATGCATCCAGGAGATGGGAGGACTCAGGAGGAGCTCAGAGTGGAGAAACAGTTTATAGTCTTATCGGTTTGATTTGAAAGTTGTTCAGCACATCATGAGCAACTGGCTTCACTCAAGGATCAGGGTTTTCTTATCTGGCAACATCAGCTCCTCACATCTCTCTTTCACGTCCTCACCGAAGGAGTTAAGATATGAGGAGGAGGCGTGAATGAGGGAAGAGAGGAGACACGGTAGCGTAACAAAAAACAATCTGAATATTTTGCATGAGAAAAGTCTAATCAGATTATTTCTGATGATGATAATGATGATGATGATGAGGAGGAGGAGGAGGAGGAGGAGGAGGAGGAACAGGTGTTGCATTTATTGAATAAACAATCTGATATTTGGATTGAAAAGCTGTATTCAATTTGTATATCTGTCCCTTCAGAATAAATACATACATACATACATACATACATACATACATACATACATACATACATACATAAGCAAGCTGCTGCCAGACAGACAAACATGTTTGGACTCGACAATCACATTTCTCTTCTTTAAAAGCAGCTTATGTGGCATAAAATGTGAACTCCAACCACCTCAAAATATTGCTCGAGTACAACCATCAAGGCCATTTACGTCATTTTTAGGTTAGTAGGAACATTCATATAGTTTATGATAACAACTTGAGGCCCGGTTTTAAACCCGTATTAGTTATTTTTCTGGAAAGTTAACTATGCCGAATTTGATACTAGATGTCCACATTTAGCATGCATCCATAGATATACTTATAACTATCAATCAATTGCTTTGGCACGGAAGAAAAGCTTAAAATGTGATAATTTTCAGGCGGGTTCTGGTGGTATGAGGAGTGTCTTTTTTTCTGGTGTCCAAGTGGGTTTAGGAATTAATTTTTAACGACTGACACCAGAGATATTGATATATAATAACATTTTAAGCCATAAAAATATACGTATTTGACAAAAAATGCAGTATTAATAATATCTGTAGAGCAGTTTACCTGAATGGCGTCCATTCAGCGTCAGCATGAAGCCAAACGTTTCCTCCGTAGAAACTTCAACTTTAACTTTAGTCCGAAAGAGGCGGATCTTTAAAACCTCCCCATTGCCACGAGAAGTGGTCTAAATTCAATACCAAGCCGAACAAATTCAATGTTAACATCTAAAATGGTGCAAATTGAGCTTAATTGGTCAGAAAACCGGAAACTTTTCCGGCAACGCTGCTCGCTGACGTCACAAGCAAGGCTGCACTCTGATTGGCTAAAAGGCCACTAATCTAAATATTCAGAACAACGTTCCCTGTAATTTAAAACTCAATTAAAAGCTGCATTTTTTCCTCTATTTAGGGAAATTATGTTATAAAACAAAAATCAAATCATGAGTAAATATATTGCAAGAATACACGTGTTTATTTAGTCATTTTTCTTTATTTTATTTTATTTATTTTTTTTAAGAAAACATGAAAAACAACCACAATTGGCTTTTGAGGATATTTCAGGCTGGATGCAAAGAAACTGAGGAAGACAGTAAACCTCCCAGAGTCACTGTACCTCTGCAGGAAATTACCCAGAAGAGCTAAAAACCACAGTTTGTCATGAGTTCACTTTTATTTTACTTACTGATGGAGATAAACTATCACACAGAGGGTGTTAAAGGTT